ACCTATGACCTTCTGGAAAGGGCTGCAGGGCATCTGGACTCAAATTTAGGCTATTTATTAACAATTTATTCATGTTTACAACTGCAGACTTGGACTAATATGAATCCCTTATTTATGATTTACAGTATCATCATTCATAATGATAAACAACTTAAGAAACTATTGACTCTTTATTTATGACTTGCATATAAATAAGCCTACTCGACAGCTAGACAGATTTTTCACAACCTAGTTATTATTAATATATATATTTATATATATATATATATATAACTGATCTATTAAGCATTTGTAGATTTTTTAACAGTTAATTAAGCCGTTAGTTACAACCTGTAAACCCTTTATAAAGGGTGGCTTATTAGAACGTGGCACCTGACAAAAAATATCCTAATTTTAATCTTTCTGCTTATTTTTTCTGGTTAGTTGTCAGTAGAGAGAGTTTCTGAGGCTGCATGGGGGAAAATAAAATGCTTTGAAATTCATCACTTCCAATTTTTAACTGTGAGCAGAATAGTAAAGAACATGTGAAAATCCACACATCCAGCACATAGTAGCAGTGCTCATAAGAAAAATCTTGCCCATGCAGAACACAGCATATGCTTGTGCATACATTTCTCCCTGTGTGTAACTGAGAGAGGAGCAACAGTAAACACGATCTTGTTCTTATTCTGAAGAAATACAGTATGTTGAGCAGAGGAGACAAGAATAGCAGTGGCATTCAGAACTCGAAGGCATCTGTAGTTGTGCAATGTACTGACTGTGTCTCAGTTTTCAAAATGTACATCTACCCACCAGCCCTGACCAGCGAGGCCAGAGCAAGATATTGTTGGCGTGTTCATTATTCTTATTTTGCTTTGATTCCCAAATGGTGGACTTCACTTTAGTAAATTAAGAATGTAGCGCTTTCAACGTTTTTAACTAAACATAGCTTACTGTAAAACTTCTAATAACAGCCCAGGCGTTTTCTGCTTAAATCACTGAACTCTCCCTGCCTTTATTTTGGACAGGCATCTATTTGGGACAGACGTTTAATTCCTTTAGCACAAAACTCTTGCCAAACAAAGATGGAAACACCATCTTACTGTGCTGCTTCTTCTGAGTTTCATTCAGCAAATTTGACAATCTACAGCTTTAATTTCAGGTTGGACTTTTTTATCTGTGCCACTGCCATGAATGTGAACATTGTTTCACAGCAGCTGAAGACGGACGTCACATGACAATAAATAAATCTGAATGAATTATACTTTGATGCTCATAGTTTCTGTAAAACTAGGCCTCTAATTGAGACCTGTCTTTATTTGTCAGAAAGTGTGATGATTTCTTGTGGTATTTGAGTGGCCCTCCTATGAAATTACAATACCAGCAGTTACCCCAAGCCAATTTGAGTTTGAGACCCGTGAACTAAGCTAACTAGCTGCTGGCTTCAGCTTTAGCTTGAAATGACTCAATCTTAACCTATGGCAACAACTCCTTTAAGAGGAAAATATCAAAGGTTAAAGCAACAGACATGTCATTCAACACATTCTGATGATGGCAAGTGATAAAACTTGCAATGTACGTATTTAGGATGCCACGTGTAACGTCCGCACATACAAACAATCCTATTGTACTTTAAAAAAACATGCACTGCGTATTAAGGTACCAGTTTGCAACGTGTAGAGCACTGTACACATTTATATAGAAGGCTGCAGACTAACAGAGATACAAGCACAGTGACAGTAAACAATACAATATCATGACAATGTGTCTGTGTGAGAAAGATACAGACACAGACAGACAAGCTGGCTAAACAGAGTGCAGCAGAGTATGGGGGTGACACGGATCAATCAGATTAATCAGAGCATCAGTTTTATGCTGGCAACAGACAAACACTTCCAGACAGGCTTAGATCTGCTCAAATGAACATGCAAATGTTGACACACAACATGCAGGGCTGCAAACCAGATTTCCTTCAGGATAACAATAAAGTTACAGTTCTAAACATTGCTGCTGCACAAACAAACACAAGTGATTTTGTTCCACTTCACAGAACATTTTATCAAACGATACCATTTTTAGTGTTTTTCTTAACTGTTAATATACGTTCCTGACTCTGTAATCAGATTATAGTAAGGTTATATAAGGTGCTATTCTCTGACCTCAGATTTGAGTCTGGACACAAAGTTTCCACTTTAGAAAAACAAACACAAAAGTCTCCCCTGGCCGAGTCCCCATGGCTTCTGTTGATGTTGCTCAATGATTCTAAGAAGAAGTCCCCCTGAGTTACACTCACATCCAACTATTCCCACCTCTGTGTGTTACTCTAGACCTTTTTTAGAGAGAGAGGTAGTAACACAACACAGACACACAGTAACTTTCTCAACATGTGTGCACTGAAAGGAGAAGTAGATGGAACATCTCTTGAGGAATGTGGGTTTTGAGAGAATGTGTGTGTGTGTGTGTGTGTGTGTGTGCATTAAACTCCAGTCACAACATGCAATACAGTTCATGACTCTCTGGATCAATTTCAACTGTCAATCAATATATACACACATATTTGCAATGTGTCACTGTTGAACATGTGATTATTTCCTTTGTCACAGTCACTGACGGACACACACAAACTATCAGCACCAGGCAGCCAGAGAAGGAACAAGGACACATGTGTTGGGTTTTCTAAGAACTAGTTATTCATCAGAGAGCAAAGAGTGGCCAACTAGGTGGGGAGAGTGAGGGGAGAGGCGGGAGACAGAGAAAATAGAGGAGAGTAGGTTAGAGAATGTGCAGAATGTTAAAGTTTGTGTGGATATGGAGGAGTGACAGAGAGAGGAGGTTGTAGCTGTGACAGAGGAGAAAAAGGTTCATTCACACAAATTATGTTTTACAGTAAACACACACACACACACACTTGTAATGTAATATCTATATTCAAAGTAAGTGGATTTATAAGTGGATTAGCAAAATAATAATGCTTCATTATTTTCACTTTATTTATTTTTAATATAATATTTCAATAACAAAATCCACCTACCAGCACATCAGAACCAGAATCAGAATCAGAATCAGAAATACTTTAATAATCCCAGGGGGAAATTATTTTACATCTATCCAATTAACACATTATATCTTAGTTCTACATTAACTTCTACTTCCTTCCTGGGCTAAATCTCATTTAATTTTTAGAGCGTCACAATGGTAAAAGTGTAGGAAATGAGACTGTAAACACCGACACATACGAGCCTTGACTTCTGGGTGATTTCAGGAATTTCATTAATTCCAGTACATGTGAGGCCATGTGCTTTGCTTGTTTGTGTGGGCAGGTTAATATTTGCTCTTTGTATGCATGAACTAAGTGTTTATGTGTGCATGTAGATATGTATGTGTCTGTTTAGGATATGTCTGTGTGTGTTTTGGCTGATATGCTCTTTACTGCCCTGTCACCTCATGTCGGACACGTGAGAGGGAGAGAGAGGAAGGAAGACAGTGGTTTGCTCGGACAGGGGGTAGCCTGATCTCTCCCAGGAACTCTGTGAGGTCAAGAATGCATTCATTTCATCTCCACGGAGACGGGGGTGTTATTGGGGGGATGGGCTGCACAAGCCAATCAGAAGGCAGTTTGAGTCACACATTACAACTGAACTATACAACCCGCCCCCAATGTGGAGTCCTACCAGACATGCTCCAAGGCTTTAGAGAAATCTGTATAAGGACCACAAAGTCACAGCCCCCAGTACTGTTTTGACATGTCTGACATATGATGGAGCAAATATCTGCCTTACGGTTAATTAATAGAAGAACACCTTACCTACTTTTCACCTTTAGAGAGAAAAGCACATGCTGTTAGCGTAGCCACTGGAGAATAGATGAAATACATCCTCTTATATAATGTGCAGTAGTTGTCACATTCCAAGGTTTATTAGCTTAATAAATGGGTTTTCATTTTGTCTTGCGTACATAGACACTGTGTTATCTTTAGCAATATACAACAAGATAGAAATTTCTTTAACAATTGAATTCAACAATCAGCATAATTAGAGCATAACATGCAAAAGTGTCTTCCTACAGACTCACATTGACTTATATTTAAAATTTGACGTCTCATCAAACATATAACAATTTCAGATATTAATTGAAGGACCTGAAGACCGTTTTACATATAGTTTAAGGTTTCACAAGGTTCATTTAAGTTTGTATTTATTCTAAAAAGGTAGTAAAATGGACATGGGGAATATAAAGCAAGTAGTCTTTCCCACCCAAACATCTTTAAATTCTGGCATTAATTAACTTCAGTTAAAAATCAGCTTCAGGCACATAATGTAAAGGAGGAAGAGGAAATGTGAAGGTGCTCTCTGAGTCCAGAGAGACCCCTGCATAATGGAACTGTTATGTAATAGCTTCCCTAGCTGTGGTGTAATATGCCTTTATAAGTACCTATGTGGGCTTAAGGTCATGTGAGAAGATATGAGCTGTTGATCTAGCACATGGTTATACCACCCACAAACACATTCGAAAGAGCAGAACCAGCACACACACTGAGAACTGGCTGTACAACAAAGGGACACAAACAAAGACACACATGTTCACACTTGTGTTTCTCACAAATACAAACACACACACACACACACACACACACACACACACACAATGATAATGTTTTTTGACCACAGTGTTTTTAAGGACACTGTTAAGGACAAGTGCTTAGAGACCTTTTATGACGCAATAATAGAATAGTAATGCCTATAAAAAATATGGATTGGTAGACAGAATAGATATGAAAGATGGGAGTGTAATTGCTTTAAAATGATTGCTTTCCTTAATTGATGCAGTCTTTGTTTAAAGTTTTTCTTAAATATTAATTAAAACAATAAACCCTTGATATAATACTTCAGATATAATAATAATCTGAAGTACAAGACACAGCTCAGAACAATGGCAGTTTTAATAACTGTTTTTCTCTTTACCTATATTTCTCTGCTTATCTCATTTATACAGAACATACACTATGAATTTAGTTTTGTTACCAAAGACCAGCTGTCATTGGGGCCGTCATCCTCACTGTAGCTACTGAAGACTCGCTCTTGCTCTTCCATGTGGGTCATGGCTCCGCGTCCATGTCCGCACAATTCACAATTCTGAGCTCCTTTTACAGACTCTGTAGTCTGTGTTGTGGAGAGAATCAGCCAGGATATCTGAAGCAATCCGTGTAAGACGTCCAGGCAGATATCTTCTGAAAGAGTTGCAGAAGTCACGCTGGAGAGAGGAGCTGCTCTGGCTTCTGAGATTCTGAAAAATCTGCGTATTGGTTGTTGATTCTTTCTTGGGTCAGTTCTCTCTAAAATATTTAGTGTACTTGTTTCACTAAGTCCAACAATACTTCTCAACAGATGCAAGAGTGCCGTTTGAACTCTGTTTGAAGATCCTATTTGACTTATTTTGATTAAATTTCTTCAAGATCGTGCAAAGCTCCTCTGGGTGGTTCTGGAAGAGTCCTTTGACTCTTATATCTGTGGGACTGTTTGAGTTGGTGGTTGCTGCTTGTGCGACATGCAGTGAGCGTTTTAGACTAAATTTATCAACAAGTGTGTTCTGGGAAAGGACTACTTGGAGGAAATCTGAGAGGGTCCAGAGTTGTTGACGCCACAATCTCCACACACACACTCACAGTCCAGCAAACATAGACACATTGTGGACTTGTGCCAACTGATGACATATGCCTACAAGCTTTATAAATTACACATCAATGAAGTTTTTCTGGTGGTGTTTTCCTTCAGAACATTAAAAAAACTATTTATGTTCTATGTGTTTCTGTTTTTATTGTGTGTAAAGCACTCAATTGGCTGAGAAAACTTTTTCGGAAGCACCCAGACACCAGTGAACTTCCACGTGAGGACGGAGGGAGCATCTGAGGGCAGCCAGTCATTAAAGAGTAAAGTTTGCCACTTGACTCTCTGTTTGTAATACTGAACTTTAGAGGCTCTGTTTGCGGTCTCAAATATCACCTGAACACTGGCACTACAGGACACAGCTCTGCCAGACGAGCACAATATTCTTTTCGGGTATCTGGGTCTGTTTCAGCCAGGCTGCCTTTTACAGTGTAGATTCAAGCAGTTCTGGCAATGTAGAGAATATGAAAATGTGTTTTATGCACGTCACAAAAGGTTACGCAAACTATACTTGGCAATTCAAGTTGGATAAATACGCGCTATTCTAGTAAGATTGGTCATCAGTCATATAATATTACGTAGAGCATAGATTAACTTTGTTTCTGCTGTGCTTCAGTGATAGACAGTAACAGAAAGTGTGCAAACAGAAGGCAACACAAACACACACACAAAAGAAGTGTAAAATATCTGTACATTTATACAATTAAAGGCATACCAAAGTGTACATTATAAAATGCTGACAACACTTGGTGGATTTGTGTTTCTTTAGCAGTTACAAATAAAATCCTCATGCAGTCTATGGAGCATAAAGCATAACAAATGTTCTACATACAAACAGAGTACTTGTACACACAGTTAATAAGTACTTTTTTTTACATACAGCAAATCTGACAAAATATATTCAAAATATTTCATATGGAAAAACTGACATGCAAAACAAACCTCTACCTTTAAAATGTTCCAATAGAAATGTTTGTTGCCAAACAATGGCTACCATTGCACACAAGTTATTGTGTTTACCCTTTTTAAAAAGCTTCTCATATTGTGTGCACCTGCAAGCAAGTGTTCAGAAGACTGTGATATTGCAATAAAAATTTTAATGAAGAAATACAAAAGCAGCACCTGCAATTTTAGTCTAGTGAGAAAATAATCCATTAAATTTCATCTTTGATGCTGTATTTATCAAGAGGTGTTTTTATCACTGCGCTCCTCTAAAATGGTTATGTTTTAGAAAAAAGTAAGTTCTAGTGGATCAGAAAAATGTAAACAATGTTAACAAACTGGTGTTTCCTGAACAATATTTTGCTAACTCACGGGATAACCAAGACTTTATAAAGGCCACACAGAAAATATATTTTTCAAAATTATTTTCCTCTTGTTTCCTTGGCCAAAACACATTAAATATTTTCAAAGATCATGACCTTTACCAGATGAATGTGTCCGTCTTGATGTTGGCAGCCTAGAACGGGGGCTCCCCTCCAAATCCTATTTGTGTGTGTGTGCAGTGATGTAATAATCAATGTTTCATATTCCATACCCATTCCACTGGGTTTGGGTAATATGCATCTATCATGCAGTCTACTGTATTTTGCATAGTTTGCACTGTCCATTCATGTCCAGTCATGTCATAAAAAACACTGTGGTACATTTCCTCTCTTTGGCACTTAAAGTGAATTTAAATCTGACTGTAACTTTGTAGCCCACTGTATACCTGTGTTTCAACTATATGTGTTTTCCAGTCAGAAAGAAGAGCGGTCGGTCCTCCTTGGCGTTGGCAGTCTGGAATTCGTCGCTGAGCCTGAACCTCCACTCCTCCTCGAGCTCCAGCCTGCCCACCGTCTGCCTCAAGGAGCTACGATCTGCACTGATGACACACAGAGTCGCACCTACAGGGAGGCAGACAGGAGGGAGAAGGATAGAGACTTTAACTATGAATGCTTCTTCTTCCCATGTGGTAATATTTTATTTTTGTTACAAAAATGCTACATGTTTCACATTTAGGCATTCAGATATGATGTATAGCTTGCTCTGTATAGTACTTTTACTCAAAAATATATCATTGCATATGTGCTACCTATAACACACAGGCCGATATATTTTTTCATTGTCTGCATGTGGTCTGCCTTTGTACCTTTGAGAAAAGAGAACTTCTTGAGGAACCCAGGAGTCACAAAGGAGTCGGCGAAACAGAGGAGAAGGCCACTGAACAGCAGCCCGGTGGTGCTGATGTTGAAAGAGTGAGGCCTGGAACTCACAAAACACACCGTCACCTGCAGGATGCAAGTAGAGTGTGACTTTTAAAAACTGTATGTTAGAATTTATTTGTATATGGACCTGCACTTATTTATCTAGAGGTTAATAAGTTACGACAAAGAGGCTTTTATTCTGTGTATCCATCTCTTTCTGTCTGTAACAAAGTCCATATCGAGATTTCCAACCATCTACATGCTTGTTGTGTGTGTGTGTGTGTGTGTGTGTGTGTGTGTGTGTGCTGTATACCTCAGGTCCCAGGTTGAGATAACAGTCCACAGACAGTACAGGGTGTGTGTAGTTCTTGGTGCTGAGTGGAAACAGCTTCTGGCTGGTGTGTTGGAGGTACTTTTCCAGGAGAAGCTGAGCCGGTGTAGCCAAGAAAAGGTGCTTGCTGTCTGGGGCACAGACGTACTGCGAGGGCCCCACTGAGGTGGGAACATCTGTCATCTGGAAACATTTCAAACTATTTTTTAATAACTGTTGTTACCATATACCTTTGTAACTAAAATATCTTTCATTTACTGTCACATGCATTCATTATTCATAGCTATGTTCATTGCTAGAAAGATGAAACCATATAAATCATACAGGTGATGAACTGTTTTGGAAGCCTGGAGCTGAAAAAAGTTTTATTTGGCATGCAAAAATTAAATTTATTTGAACAATAATTTGTTTGTGAGGATAATGATTGAACCCGTTGTTGTTCCTAGCTGCAAAGGTGGTGTTATATATTGTGTAAATGACTATACAATGACTATACAAGTAAAGTAATAATAATTTAATTAAATATTCTTTAAATCCGTTTCTTTATTCTGCTCATTAAGTGATATAAGATTGTGTCTTCAACATCTACCTTGGTCTTGATAATAAATGTCCTGTATCCTCCTATGGCAATCTGCTTCTTCATGACGCTGAAGCTGTTAAACCGGCAGACGAGCAGTCCGGCACTGTGTAGCCTCAGGGTGAAGTCCACATCGTGACAGGTGAAGCGGTTCTGGTCGTACTGGACATTCTGACTCCGGTCCACATTGAGGAGGAGGAAGTCATGAAGGTGACCTTTGGAGAAGGGCTCCTTCTGTTTATTACCTGGATGAAACAACATTTATTTTAATTACACTTAATTCTTCATTACATATATAATGTCAGCCTAAGTGTTACATTTTGTTACAGGCTAATGGGGGTTTGTTCAAAGATATGAGATATAGTTTGGAAAATATCTGTAGTCTTTGAGGTTAAGACGTAAACACTGATGTGACGAAGACATACCAATCTGTATCTGCAGTTGAGATCTTAGACATCTACAACAAGTAGAATCTTTCCAGAATGTTTCAACGCACATTGTTATTATCCAGTGCAGTCCAATACAACAGCCTTGCAATAGGTTCTACCTCAGTGAAGCTTATAATATTTTCACTCAGACTCTATGGTCATTTTTGAGGATGTAGTTTGACATATTATACAATGTTATTGATATTCTGTGCCATGAAACGAAAATATAGTATTTACAAAGACTGACATGCAGTCAAAATGTTTCTTGACTTTTCAAGGTTTCTGACATTGTGACCCCCCTGACCTGTGAGTGCACGGCTGCTCCACTTCCTGATCCCGCACAGTCCGTAGTGGGCCAGGTCTGGACAGGCCTCCATATGCTGTAAGACCTGCTTCAGTGACACAGCATGCTCCACCGGACCACTAACGACAGCAAAAAGCAGTAGTTAGGTTAAACCCAACTCATAAAATGAAAAAACATACTCTAAGTTCTCCTAATTTGTCCTATACTTATTTGTATAAATAATATGTCTTTATGTACTTGCGTGCGTCCAGGTCCACTGTGTTCCACATAACACAGGAGTCATCAGCCAGGATGATGAAGGGCCAGACGTCACCTGCTGGGCCCCCACCCTCCAAACGCCGACTGCGTTCCAGCTCCAAGTTGTGATACGAAAGCTCTTTAATCAGGAAGTGAGCAGCACCTGCAAGACAATGTGGATCAGTTATTAAGGTGGTGGATTGTGAAAGACAGTTGATATTGACATTTTAGTACTGCATCTGTCTGTATGACTGCTAGGAAAGAAGGAAGGAATGCCTACATACCTATTCCAGCTCCATTGAAGACAGTGGGCAGTACCAGCATGATGTGGTTGGGCCAGTACTTCTTATACACAGCCATCTCGTACTCTTTGACCACCAGGATATGTAGATGTGAGGCTCCATCCATAGCGTGGTACAGGTTAAACAGACCATGCTCATGACGGCCGGTGGTTGGGGTAAAGATTGGACTCTTGATGCAGTCTGGGCTCTGGCGAAGTGGAAGAAAACAAAAAGTGGAAGAAAATGAAATACTTGAAAGTATTTAATGTAGTACCTTCATACATTTAGACATTTCAACATGATGTCAAAAAGGCAAAAAGAAAGGGAAAAGTAATGAAGTCATCAATGGTAACACACATTTGAGCATTTGACAAGTATTTAAGTATTAGCTGCAACTATGATGACAATTCATCAAATTTTTAATGAGAGAATCTGGGCCATGACCTGTAGGCTACAGCAGCAGTTTCAAAAATAAGATCTGGGGACCTCCGAGGGTCTACAAAGATACCGGATGCAGAA